AGGTGTTTTAAGTTCTGTTTTGCACTCCCTTAGTGCTGGTTAGCATGGACGTACTCAGACTCCGTAGCTCAGCCATGCTAGCCAGAAAAGTTGAAGTACCTTCTCCCCCGTTCATTACTATTACATTTACTCCAATTAACTACGTTCCTCCTTCAAACATGTTCCCGAAACGGTCCTTTTGATTTGTGTTTCATTATCAGTACTTAGATGTTAGGTAAGGCACTGGTTAAGCAGGTATTAGAGCACATCAAGTTGAGTAGGGTTGGTCAAACGTTACGGAATAATAACATACACATCCCTACAATATCATCATTACCAACCGCATACTTTCCTTTGCATTGGCTTGTTCAACTTCTCAATTCAAGTACTTTTGGATAGCTCGAAGGCAGCTGATCTCGTTTTATTACAGTACTCTATCAGCAGTTCGTAATATTTTCACTAACTGTCTGCAACAACTTACTTCTAAATTCTTCATTATTGTTCCGAATGTTGTAGGAGTTATTTACCCCCCTGTGAATTCGGTCTTCCTCAGAAATAGTTGCTGGGGGAATGTAACCGATTGAGGCAAATGACCACACGTTATGCTCTCAAATCGGTGTCTTGTTCGGTTAATTCGTCATCGTCCTATTTCCTGAAGGCTTTCTACTTCTTAATAGCCGTGCAGTTCATACTTGTGTCCGATAGTCTGATGAAGGCAGTCATCTGGGAAGGGTTTCGTGTTCTACCAACGTAGACCAGGATCTGATGTGAGTCGCATCAAATCACTGGTTCTCCCGAACCTAGCAAAATTTGAACAACTCCATTTTGTGGTTTATAGGGATTTTTTATTTCAGGTTGGTACTCACCATGGACTGAAATCAGAAGGAGGACCGTCGGAAACCTGGGAGCAGTGGACAGCCGTTTCGTTCTAGTGTGGGACTGCTTACCATTGCGCGTCCATGTTCCCATCAGGAATCGAATCTGGGACCTTCAGTTTCTGTGGCCGGTGCGTTGACACTTGGCCGCTGAGTTGGAACCCAATAAAACACATTTCCCTGTGTTGAGCGTGTTTTGATTTTGCTCTTGTAATGTATTCAACAACATTTGCCACTCATTTGTTTGGCTTCATTCAACTTGCTTGTACAACCGTATTTAACCTATTGTTTCGATTAGTGTTACCATTGTGTTTCGTTTCGGATAGAAACTACAGTAGCCATCAAATTGGTTGTAACTGGGTTTTGTTGTAAAGAACAAGTTTCATAGAGTCCACCTACTGCCTGAATACACATCCTTTTCGGCAACCAATTGTTTTGGATTTGGTCGGTTTCGCTTTGGGTTTTGGGAACTCTGGATTTGACGCAACACCCTGCCGTCCGCAGTCACCCTCAAAAAGACGCTAGTGGCAATCTTTCAGATGAGATTCAACCTCGAAAGGTTGCAGATACTCCACGAAGACTGGTTGTGACGAGCCGGAAGCCCAAGTGGTTCCAGGCTTCACGCTGATCACCTCCACCCGTCTAAAAAAACTCATTCTCCACCAGGCAACTGAAATTATTTCGGGCCATCCGGGAGTGTCAGCATACGGTGTTGTTTATTTCTCTCCAACGATACCAAGAAATAATACGGAAAAACCTTCGCTACAACTATGACCCGCTGGGAGCCAAACGGTCGACACTAAGCCCACTTGGCGCAAAAGCCCTACCAATTAGCACAACTTCACCCTGGCTCTTCTCTATTTTACAGTTCGTCAACCTCCAAGCTTGACGAGGCGATAACGGATTCATATAGGGGGTAAACTGATGTAGTTCGTGGGTAATCAGCTAATCCCACTTTTTGATGCAGCCAACTCATAGAAGTTTAACTGCATTATGTTTATTTCACTGTCACCCACTTGAGGCAACTTTAAATGAGCTGCTTCCTATTGTTTTGTGAATTCTCCACCGTCTAATTCTAACGGTATCCTACAGGAAAGCTTAGTCCTCGAGAAGGGGAAAACATTTATCTGCGATTTGTATACATGTGTATGACGCCGTTTTCACACGGTTATCTATTCGGGCAAAACACTCGACATCCCGCGCCTTAAGATGACGCGTTAGATGACTGCGACATATCCTCGGAACAACCCTCTGTTTATGCTCCAGAGTCGTGTTAAGGGGAAGGAGTAAATGCGCCAACAGTTATCTCCGAAGATACAGATCAAGTATCGGATAGTTCACAAATCCCACCACCACACACTTCAAATGGCAGCAGTAAGCTAAGTTGAACCCTTTGGGAACCTTTTGGAGATAAGTTAACATTTGCTGGCCAAAACCAGAGGATGATTCTCTTCAGATTAAAAGGTAACACCACTTTATCAGACAACAGGCGTTGTGGTGCATAATACCACCATCCAGAGCCTTCAAAGTCATTGGTGTATTCCACAGCCAAACAACACTTCGTGTGCCGGCCGTCTATATTCAGAAACACAATCAAGTTTCAAGTCGATTCAAGATGGCCTCGAAAACTGGGAGCCCTTGAAGCCGTTCAACTAGGTTCTCAAGTAGAGTTCGTCCCGTATAAATGCACCACCCTGGTGGGTGTGGAAATCCTCCCTCCCTTCCCGTGACCAGCCCTTGTGTATATGACTGTCAGTTCTAAATGTTTTCCTTCGTAAGCAAGTAATAACCCCGGGTGGATGTTAGAAGGTTCGAAGGTCTTCACACAACTCTTGACTGGCCAAGGCCCATATTTACAGAAACTAGCGTGGATCTAACCAAATGGTGAAAACAATGGCAGATGCTGGTTGCCCTTCACACAAAAGTTTGGGGAGAAGAAGCACGTGGCGAAAAAACTGCTGGTGATATTTGAAGGGTGAATAGGTTGAGGGGATGCTGCGTGAATGTTAAGGAGGATATGTGAGGCCAGAAGCACCACAACTGTGGTAGTGGCAAACCGTTTTTACCAACGTTCCGTCCAACAATCTCTTGAAAGGTAGTACTGAGGATGTCGTTGGTACTTCCTGTGGCACAGCATTTGCCTCCTTAGACAGAAGTTGGCCGTGACCCTAGGATCTAGCCGCCGGTGTGCTACTCTCATTGGGTTCCCATTTGCCTAACTATTCCGGACTGGTAGAAATTGCTTACTAGGATGACTTTGTTAATATACGATTTTATACGTTTTTATTCGCTTCCCCGTTTGCCCGCGATAGTCAAAGGCAAATAGATTGGGTCGTCAGAGACACTTAGGGTCCGATCGCGCACAGGTTTCGGCTCGTTGGTTTGTGATTTTGCCTGAGTTTCCACGAAAATCATCATGATGACCACCGGCATTGTTTCACTGTTTTGGATAATTTACATTACTTAGTATCTCCTGAGCCATCATCACATCATCGCGCATCCAGTGGTAATCGAGCACTAGGTCTGGAACCTCTGGGTAGATCTTCACAAGGCCTAAGCTGCGACTTCGTGATGTCATTCATCACTCGTCTCTGCACTTTTGACACAAGATTGGTGCCACTCTTCAGGCACGCTAGCCCAACATTATCTTGAGCCTTGAGATGGGGTCACGTACACATCCTCTACAATTTGAGAAGGATTTCGGAGGTGATAATGCCTAGTTGCCAAGGCACGTATGTGATGCCACGTCGGCCTTTGAGGTGTCTCCCGGGTAACTTGGAGTGGCATCCAAGTTTTCCACCCGAGTAGGACTCCGGATCACTGTCAGTGGCCGTACATTAAGGGTGAAAAGAGCAGTCTCTGAGAATCAGGGGTGCACAGCAAGTTCATCAATTTTAGTTCACTCATCAGGAATCTACAGATTGGCTTGAAATAAACTTGAGTCCTTTCTACAGTCTGCAGCCCAACATGGCTTGAAGTTGTCGCAGCAGCGCAGCGACTAAAAGGATCTGTTTCCACCTACCGGCTGACAGCTTGGGACATGAAGAAGCCGTTCACAAACAGCAGGAGTGACAAGAGGCTTGGAGCGTACCCTCATGAAAGGCACGATGGTAGTGTTCTTCGGGTTCGGCAGACCCTGTTGACTTAGGTCCAAAGTTATCTACCATCTACATTGCCTTTTGTTCATGTCACAAGCCGGTTATCAACACCGAGCTGAGTGGGTTCTGTTTGGATGGTATCACCTAAGCGCTACCAAAGGAATTGATGAAGTTTGGAAAAGTCATGTGCACACGGACATGAAGATTCCAGCTAACCATCTGGTTTCTACGTGATATCAGATGGTTAGGAATGCCTAATTACCACTTTTAAGATCCGCGCCACATCTTATGGGGCGCTTAATTCTCTCCTAGATGTCATCTGAAGTGACTGTCCACTAGGTCTACCATTACTTTTAACACACGCAGAAGCGTCTGGGATTCCCTTGGTTTGTAATTTTTTGAGGATCATGTTGTCACCTAAGTATGGTGCACCTATCTCCTCTATATCAGGTTATATAGGACACTGCTCGGGCTGATAAGTTACTGAGCTTTCTATCAAAGGTGAAGCTACAAATTTTTGAGGTCTCTGAGCCGAAACTGAAAATAGTTTAACAGGTGCTTCTGGTTGATGGATGTCCCTCCGGATTCACAAAGGTGAATCTCAAAGAGCAACTATTCACTGAGTAAATTCCATGGGTCCAAAATACAATTCTATCCACACATGACGGGTTTAGAGGCGATATAGCAGTAGAAATCATGAGGAATAGTCTGATCAGATGGACGGGAAAGGCAATTTTTCCTGCTAAACTTCAGGCCTTCTTCTCACGCTGGCAATTAATTTGTGAACGTGTTAAGGATAAACCACTCCTTTGAACCGTAACTGTGTTTCTAAAAGCCGAATGGTCTTTGTGCAGTTAGTCATATGGGTGGGAGAAAGCGTGTACTCAGCAAAGGCATCTCTGTATATTTTCTCGGGTGGCTTTAAAGGCCACCCAAGCAGTAACTTAAATAATCATTTACGTTCGTTCGCTTTGGCCAGAAAGGCAAGTTTTAAGTAAGTGGTGAGGTCTAACTTGTTGTTCTAATCGTTGCTAAGATGGCCTTCAGAGTCACCCACCTTGTTGCATGGCTATCAAAAGTCAGTCATTCATCTATCGGATATACCAAAGCTAGAACAAGCCAGCATGTAGATTTGCTGCATTGAAATTCACCGAAGACTTCATACTGTCTCGCAAGATTCAGAAATATATACGTGGAAATAAACTAGTTTATACATTGGTCGTTGAAGGTCGGATATTGGTAAGAGCAAGTTTTGTAGATTGCGGTACTGGTTACAAAAGTGACTTACATGTGGGTTTGTAAATGACATGCTTATCATGTCTTTATTATTAATGTTAAGCAGTTTATTTTAAGGTTTTGATATGGACTTCGTGCTGAAATCCACAATTTTTTTAGATAAAAAAATAGGCTGACCTAATGCTGTGACACAAACCAAAGGGCAATAATAATACTGCCACAGCACGTGTATGAGTGGTGCATTGTGTAATTAAGCATAAATATAACCTTTAACCAGGCATTTCTTCCCCCCCCCCTATGTATAGTCGTATTTTCAAAGCTGTTTGAAAAAGACAAATTTCCTTTATTAGATGAAACATCAATATTGTGAGTATACGATGGCAGTTCACTGAACAGTATCCTTGATCCTCTAAAACCCTGCCCCAAACTACTTATCGAAGCTTTCAATGTCTGCACCAGCTGTTGAATCAGACAACAAGCGTCGCTGGCCAAATCTCAGGCTATGGACGTGTGCCATGTTTGTCAAACACCTATACATGACCTGGATGGAGGCATTCACCTGACCAACAAAGTTAATCTGGCTTTCCAATAGTTAGTTCTCACGATTTTGCCGATAAAGATATACCACTCATTGCAAAAGTAGAAAATGCACTATTCTATTGGATTCCAGTTGACAGCGGACTGTGCATTCTTCAGCCGAAAGGTGCAGTGGTGACTAAAAGAAGTGAAATTCGCCTTAGTCTTTCTTGAGAAATCCTCCTATGATAGCCACAAAGGAATCAGTCGGACAAACATAATGTCTATGGTTATAGATTCTATGATCATTACGCATCTAAGTAAAACTCGGAAACAGCAAACTCGAAAACCCTCGACACATTTTAGACCTGGTCATGGGTGTATCGGCCAGATATTCACTTTCTGCCAGGTTCTAGAATACAGGTAAACTTATCAGCTCCCGACATCAGCTGTATTTCTCTACCTGAAAGCGGTGTCCGACCCCATAGGTTAGGGTCCTATAACAGTGTCTCATTGAGAGGGGTGCTGAGTAGGTACATCACTCTATTAAAAGTTCTTTGCTGGACTACTCGTGGGCGTGTTAGAGCCTATGGTGAGTTGTCAGATGAGCTGCGCACATCGAATGGTGACCGTCAAGGTTGGTCACTCTCCCCTTAATTTTTTTTACAGATACTAATAGAAATGTACCTCTCCTCGGCTGACTTTACTGGAGTCGATTTGGTCATAGGAGACTCCTTATTAAACCTACATTAAGCAGGGGACATTTCATTGTTACGTGAAAGTGCTGAGAAAGAAAATTCACTCAACAGCTTTGCGTATTTTCGGACAGTAAGCAGTGAACCACATTTGTTGTATGAGGAATAATGACACTACCTCGTTACCCTAACCTTCTAGGGCTGATTCGACTTCTCATGTGAGTGAAGTGGTCAACGCACTTGACGACTTCACTCTCTTTTGTTGGACAAGTCACTATCGCAGACCAGTTATTAAGCAAGTTTTCATTTGCATAGTGAGGAACGTGTCCAAAACATTTTGAAGTTGTCATTCAAGGTTCCCGAAAGACTGCATCTTCGGCTAAAAAGACTATCATCTGTAAACTCTGTATGTAATAAGGGACCTCCCGTGACAAGGTCGATGGCTATAAAGTCATACGAGAAAAGAGCAACCTCCATAAGTGCATCTATGCCATTGTTTAATAGAAATAGAGGGAATGAACACTCTAGGTGCCAAAATCAGCTGTTAACTCACCACAGGCTCTGACACGTCCACAGTCCCTTGAATACATACTATCCGACAAAGTCATCTACTTATCCAGCACCCGTTCCAGTAAGAGATTGATATAAGTACGTTCAAAAGGTGTACATAACTGTGTAGCTAGTGTCTGAAACTTCATCATTTTTTGTGTGCCTGTAGACGAAGATTCTAAACGAAATAACACGACATATCGAGTAGGAATCAAATATATTGAATCACAATATGAGACGAAAGAAAGATCATGGCTTAGGTATTACTGTCTGCAGAAAACCAGTATATCCTAATGGATATTCGGACTCTATGTGGGCTCACCGAAAATCAACTAAAGAAAGTCTAGTGAAAAGTTTCAGTAGTTGAGCTTGAAATCTGACTAGTGAATCAAAGAAACCATATATTTGAGATGAAGCAGATAAAAAACAGTACTACTCAACACACATCTTCCAACGCTTACTCAGAAACTTATAAGAACTGATTAGATAAGAGTTAGAAGTGATAAAAATAGTGATCGCGCTACAACTGAGAGGGATTTTAAGGCCTCTATAGTGTTACCATGTGAAGAAGAGACACCAGAACTTCTGAGTAGGGCTCTTAACAAGATAGGAATCCTGGTGATCTGCAAAACTACAAACTCACTCATTAGGAAAACTGGTTGGTACAAAAATCCAAATAACCCTATGTAACAAACTAACTTGACATAAGAAATACTGTATATCATTTGCGGTATCCAGTACATAGGTCAAACGAACAGGTCAACCAGAATAGCCAAGCATAAAGGCTTTCCTAAATGTAGGATGATAGGCCTTAATAAGATAAGCAATTAAGAAAACAGCTCGTCTGTTGTTATGCCTAAAGTGGCCCAATGAGGTGAAATAGAGCAGTCATCCTAAAGACTAATTTAACCAAGTGAAGAGAGATTGATAACCGAATACGTAGAATAGAAATGGTGCAATACCCATTCCAGATATGTGAAAAATCCTGTCACCCTTGAAGCGAAGGAATGAAAAAGGATACAACTATAAAAACCTGGAACTGAAAGTATTGACATTACCTTGATATGAATAGGAGCCATAAATTGTAATGTCTCACTACTATGTCAGACAAACTTAGTGGATATAAAAGCGACAAAGTCAACGTAGTACCTTGCACAGAAGTGCATTGTCTCAAGTTGACACACTTTATTGCAGTATACAAATGCCAAGTAGATAGGAAAACAATGATATCAAAGCAGACAAAGGTTTATGGCAGGAGAACAAATTTGATGACCAAAGTTAGTGAGAATTTTCAGGCTTTAGAAGACGTCAAAGGACGAATACATCTGTGCCATTCCGTGAGCAGTTTCCAGCCATGTCACTAAGAGTCTCCAACAAGTCATTCCTGTTATCTCGACAGCCACAACCAAGAAGTCCACATCTCCCTACACGGCTCAGACCTACAGTCAGAGACTTCATAAACTGTCGTGACGCCTTAGTCTGGTCACCCTAAGCCTTCCAGCTTGATCCTACTTCAGCTGACATGGCATGTCGATGTAGGCAGTGACTGGGTATGCGTTACACATGTTAAGTCCGTGAAGGTCCACAACCAACCTTCATGTCGTGCCCAGTACCCTTAACCTGGCCTCGAGATTGCAGACAGTGATTCCACTGTATATGAGCAACGCTACGAAGACACCTGGGGTCAAAGTCTCTAGTCTCTTGATGTCTACTTTCAACAGCTATGTTTCACAACCGTATAAAAGGATAGAAAACACTGCTGAGAATTATGGTTTCCCTTTGATAGATAGTTGGATATCCCGCCAACAACAAAGATAACTCAAGTTTTAAAATGCCAAACGGCCTTTCGTATCCGAGCTGTTGTTTCGTCCCCTCACAGCCAGGCATTGCCACAACACTTTCCGGTGACAGGGTTGAATTTCACCTTCATGTTAAGAAATGTGATCAGTGTCGGCTACCGGTAAGTAAGTTCGTGTTCTATAACTTGATCACAGGTGAAGATTTAATAGGTGCACCCTCGTTCTTTCCGGTCTAAAATCTGCCCGGTTCTCTGGAGTTTTCGGTTCTCGAACAGCTAAGCGTTGGATAACTATGGATCCAAGGATCCTGACCACTATGTCAGTTTGACTGATTCCTTTTTAGGTGTGACAAGAAGCCTCCTATCCTTTCTTGTAAACTGGAATGGTGAGTGGTGTAGACCAGTTTGACTGAACTACCTCTGGCTCCCACACACTACCTAGTGCCTCCGTTACTCTACTCAGTAATTTCTTGCCTCCACTTTTAAACGCTTCAGGTAGTGAACCGTCGGGTCCTGCTGATTTTCATCGTTTCAGGTTTAAGCCAGTCTTTTCAACTCCCAGGATAGTTGGGGGATCGACATCTACGCCCCATTCATGTTAGGGTTAGATGTTGGGCAACTGAAGCGTTGCTGTGCGTCAGGTGAACCGTGTTACATCCAATATTCTAGCTGTCCCTCCTGATAGGTTATCAGCGTCCCATCCATTTTGGTGATAGTCTCATTGACCATCGTCTTCTTGCTAGTATCCTTAATAAGCCTGGATAATTACCGAGTATTACATAGTACTGGGGCCTCCTCCGTCCGTTTCTCTTTCTCCGCCCACTAATGCTTGTAATCGCTGTGAAGACTCTTAGTCAATTTACTTGTAGGTTGTTCTTTCTCCTCATTATGGTCAGAGTCGGCTGGAATAAGTTTTCTCGCACCACAGTGCCCAATTCCTACTATTGCATTGATATAACTTATGTTGTGTTTTGCAGTTATCTGACTCTTAAAATAGAATTCCACTTGATCTCCACAATACCATTATCCAGCCTTTGAGAGGAAAGGATAATTGTTTATGACCTTTGGTGTAACTGAACGCAACCTTTAGGACGGAATAGTAATTTAACGGATCACATTGTAATGCACTGAGAATAGTAGTATCAGCAAAATGATGATAATTCTTCTCAGTTGGTTAGAGGCAATCGGTAGGAAGCCCTGGACCCAGGTTTCGTGTATTTTGGCACTCGTCAGCAAGGCACATCTATGACCTTAAAGGAACGATTGTTCACTCTAAAAATCAAGCCCGCGTCACCCAATGCTGTAGTCTGCGACATTATCACTGAGCTACTCCAGCTGCGATCGGTCTCCTGTAGGACTTAGGTATATTGATTTGTCACTGGAGAGAAACCAATTTCATGCTCTCTAGTCCTAGTTGCTGACCGTATTCTATTGGTCATTTTGCAATCCTGGTTCATATCAATCTGATGTTGTAACTAAGCGTACTGTTTTCCAGGAAAGGAAGAAATAATTACGATATAAAAAACTAGCTTAGTGATTGTAGTAGAGCCTATATCTTTTGAGTGTAGCATTTTAATACTTTCCGCTTACACCTCCATGTGTTGCTATAATACGTCCTGTGGAACTGCGACATGGCAAGCACCCATTGGGTTATGGTTTCAAATCCCTCTCGATACGTTCAATAAATGAGTAACTCATAGTCTTGTACAAAAACTTGGAAAAGATTGCTGGGCTTCGGTTTTCACATATACAGCTTCTGATATTGAAGCGAACTAGAAGACTGAAACGAAAGAAGGAATGCTTACTGTTAACAACTGGTACAGTAGTCGTTAAAAATGGTACACCTTGCACTAAAACTGTCATTTGCAAAATGTGCTTTACTTGCTCTTCTGCTTCTCTCTTTATTTGCTCTTCATGCGCCTGCGTTGTGCCTTGTGTTTCTCTTGGTATAATTTTTATCCATTGCCGATAATTCCCTATGATTTCTGCCACCCTCTCAACATATACTACTTATATCCACTCTTATCAGCAACGCCCACTACAATACGACTTGTTATAGTTATATTCTGTAGCTTCAATTAAGGTTGAAGTGTATGACAGTCAGATGAAAGTTAGTAATCCTTTTACCTCGATAATATGTTACTAAGACGAGTCCTCTGAAGCTCTTCCACTCGATATTCAACAAATATGTCACGAGTTAGCATCCTGACTTATCTGTGGAGGTTAGCACAGTCAGATAGTACCACTCCTCCTCATATATTAGGTATGCTTCATTGTCTACTTCAAGCAAAGTCACATGATTGCTGAATATATTTCAGAAGCTAGTCCTCGGCCCTTAGTAAGTAGTTGGGAATTTGTGTTTTTATGGTGGGTGATGATTGGAGGTGAAATGAAAATTGGGACCGCGGCCGGATTCGAACCAGAGACCACCGGTGGTCGGCTACGCTTGTCCTAGATGGTCAAATGATAATTTGTGTTCTGTTGCATATCATGCCTAGTATTCTCAGTCAATTTATCATTATTATTATTATTATTTATCACTTTCAGAAGTATGCTTCAAAAGCATTCCAATCCACCTATTGGTTTAGAACGAATGCATCGATATTTTTGTTATGTATGCGGAACTCTCTTACCTCATAAATTAGAAGTTAATGATTCATTGATTTGTCGGAAATGTAAAACTTCCACATTTATGCGTTGGTTCATCAATATGGAAGCAAGTTTCAATACTAAAGCTAAATCAAATCAGACGTATCATACTGATAATGATGAATATGAATCTACGTGTTTATTCTTCCCATCTATGATTAAAGGTGCCAAGAAGATATTAAGATCAGAAATTGCACTAAACCAAGCATTAGAATCACAGTTTGAAAATGATACACCACAACCAACATTTGATGGACCAAGTATTAGGAAAGAATGTGCATATTGTGGTAATGATCGGATGACGTATGTAACACTGCAAACTCGTTCAGCAGATGAAGGACAAACTGTAATATATACTTGTACACAGTGTGCTAAAAAAGAAATTGAAAATACATGACCAAGTTTTTTGGACTTTCTGTATTATTTACTAAATTGTTAGTTGTGTTTGCATAATCTTTGTTTGGTGCTCTCTAGCACACAGCCAGTCATTACCTCCTCCTTTTGACAAATATATACGCCGAAAAATCTGCTTAAAATTCATACTACTTGTGAGTAGCGTGATGTTTAATTTGTAATTATCACAGCAGCACTCGTGTATAGTCGATTCCCAACCTTGTTTGAAGAAAACTAGGATTTTAAGTCGACCTAAACTTACTCATCTATGAAAGAAGTGAATTCCTCAGTTAGATTTTAAATTTGAATTCATTTTCTAGAGAAACAATAGGTATTAGCTGAAATTTTTCAGTTCCATTAGAATATATATTAGGTTGTATAAATGATAGAATAGTGAATTAGGGTTTTTTTATTTACTTCAAAAGTCGATGTCTAGATTGCAATAAATTCAATCCTATTCGAACCTCATGAAATTACTTCATTGTGGTTGTAGTTTCAGGTGTATTAAACGCCGTGAGGTGTTAGTTTACTATGAAAGAACTGTTTAGTTTTAATAATCTTTACTTAAAGTTGTGAACTTTCACCGATTGAAGTTTCTTGGGTATAGATTACGTATGCCTACCTACTTCAGCGTTATATGTTAGCCAAAATAAAATTAGGCTGGAATAAATCTAAGGCTGACTAGATCGAGACCTGTCACCGGTCCTGTAGAGAGAAAGATAGACTACGTGGCTTGGATTCTTGAGATATTTTGTCAACGGTTGGAGAATCTTCATTATATAGCTAGTAGTCTGTCACGATGGTGGATATGTATGCGTTCACCATCATTTTGAATATTCCCGCCAACCATCATCTATTTATTTTCTCTCCTCCTAGACACTTTCTTCTACTTCATTGTTATTCTTTCTCTCTTCATTTCTTGTTCTCGTGCTGCTGTGGAGTGTTGGAACTTGACGTGATGCACTTCTGTACCAGGTTCTACATCGGTTTGGCTGTTTGCACAAGTAAAATCTTCAAAAAGAAAGATTTTGTAGTTTTTATTTGAAAATAAAGCTGTTTTATTCGGTAGTAGCTGACAATCGAAGCCAATATGCATTAACAGAGACTGACCATTAATAGTCATATAGGTCAACAACAAGGAACTACCAAATTCCCAACGTAAACTGATACGTATTTTTAAAGGCAAGACTATCGTAACTCAGTAGCCTACAGGATCATGTTCCGCTATTCGAAGTACCGTGTTCTGAGCTCGAGTCCTAGAAGGAACAAGAACATTGATTGGTGTTTGACCATTCTTATTGTACGTGTTAAACAGTCTTGTTCATAGATTCAGTAATCAGTGTCTACCCTCATGCGAATACATTGCTCAACAGGGCTAGGACAGAGCAATGGTCTTACGGATTAATATAGATGGAAAGAGATAGGTTAACCACTGAATCCTTGTTCATCTATTCGACGTCTATCGTATTACATAGGAACGCGTATTTTGTCACCAATCCGAGGTATATTGAAAACTGTAATACCAATAAAATAAACGAAGGAAAAGCACTAGAACTATAAATCAGGAAGTTGTGTGACTAAAATGATATGATTGTGATCGTCGAAATGTCATCCAGAAAATAATACCACATCACTATGTGTCATATGGGATAAACTAACCTTATATGAGAATATATACTCTTCTCCTGTACCCAAACGTAAAAGTTATGAATTTTCTTGGTAAATTGTCTTCTTCTAAAAGAAAATTTACATGACCCATGAAGTCAATATGAGAAATACGTAATATTCCACCTTCACGACATAAAAACTTTAATTGTTTGTTAACTCCTTCAATGATGCATGATATTATATCACAGTGAATCCACAGTTCAGGCTTTTGGCGACTTAATTCAAGTATCAGGTTTCAGCACTGGCGTAAATCAAAGTTCCAGAGAACGAGCACTATCAGTAGACCTTGCATATGTAACTAATGGAGAGATTTCATAAACTCGTTAGTCAAAGAGAAATTAACAGGCAAGTATTCCTTTAGAGAGAAAATTTACCGATAGGTATCCGTAATTCATTTTACGTGACTTCATAAAACCCGCCTTCTGAAGACTCCCATGGTAGAATTATAGGAACTCGAGTAAGTACTTACTGATTTTCAGGCAACCAGTGGCATTCAAAGGTGGGTGCGATCTGTGAGGTTTTTATTCTAGAAACAAGATCCCTGACTATAGACGAGAGTCGCATATCTGATGGGTGATGCATAGGTGACAAGCAGTATATCAACCAATTGTGATAGGGCAATGTTATAGTCACCACACAACCATCAGAATACCAGAGGCACTTCAGCATACCCAAAATATTGCCGCCGGAAATCAATATCTCAGGCTGTTTCTTGTGAAATAAAATCCTCACAGTAAAAAATTACGTAAGACTAAAAACCCCTAATTTACGACAAACCAAAACTAGTCAAATATCTACAAGCGCAAAACAATCCTACGTAAATAAGTACACTCCTCAAATAATTAATAATAAATAATAAGTAATTCAAACGCCCTCGAAACTCCAAAAAAACCACCATACGCTATATCCTCCACCACCAGCAGGTACTCACAAAAACCCCATCCATCAGCCTCCCAATAAGCATAAACGCCCATTCGGCGCTCCTCCTCCTGGAACCTCGACCACCAAACCCACAGTCATATAATCACAACCTAGCGAGTGCCAATCATCGGCGTCAGTCGGACGGTTTGACTTTGCGACTGAATGTCGAATGTCCACTCAGTCATCACCTCAGTGGGCACGGGACACCAATGGCACACGGACAGGCAGAGTCGCATTAAAAGCGCCTTCCGAGCCTGCCAGGATTCGAACCTGGAATCTCCTGATCCGTAGTCAGGCGCGTTATCCATTGCGCCACAGGCCCACGCCGCCACGTCACATAACTCACCTACTCCAACAATCATCCCACATCTACACAACACTACCAAAATCATTCAAAACCCGTCCACATCGTCTCCAACCAACTCATCACCCGAATATGCATAACATTACTCACTGGTCTCAAGACCACAACACCACCTCACCTCCCATAGACGCTCCTCATTCTCCCTATCAATTAACCAGCAGACTAACCAACACGGACGCATCTACACCGCACCGCACAACATTCACCAAACACTACAGATAAACCACACTCCCGTTGTAACACTCACTCCATTGGAATCACAACGATCCTGGAACGCCTGACACACTGACTCGTGTGTCGCTCACACCAATCACCTTACACTCTCAAAAACACTGTCGAGTTGACCAATTCACCATGATGTGTCAATCCAATCCACACGTGGAGACAGGTGGCGAGAGCGAGAGTGTAAAAGAAGGAGATGGATTGAGACAGAGAGATGGAGGGTGTGAATACGCGTGACAGACAGAGTGAGATGATATGGAGGTTTGTTGAGACGATGATGAAAATATTGTGATCGTCGTGTCCGCTTGTCAACCCATGAGGTCGTTGATGATGTTGTTCGTCGTGGTGGTTGTCAAGAGATGAGAAAAGTCTGATTACATTGGTGCGCCTACTGTGTTGCCATGTGAGTGGAAGTCTTATTGCTTCGATCAGCCACTTGAAACAGCTGAGCATCTCGAGCTGAACGCTAATGTCGCTTCATTCAGGTGCCTCCACTAAATCCTCATGATCAATTCACAAAACCTGATTGTCACCTACATTCACATATCGCACTCACACACTCATTCACTCACTCACTCACACACACACACATACACATACACATACACATACACAATCGCACATAAGCTACACGAACAAGTGAAGTCCGCTTCTTCGAAACAACATTCTTGACCTGATGGAGTTGTTCGGACACGTCGTGTCACTCAGCTGAGCATCGAATACAGTGGTGAACACATCATTGGCATGTCTGAGTGGCGTGTGCAGACACCACGCTCAGTTGCGGTGCCCACCGATTGTTATGACTGACTCGACTCGATTGTCCACTACAACCGTGGCAGAAATTCTCTCAATACACCACACTGTGATTAGGCAACGAGTGACTCCGAATCAACTGTCTACAAGTCACATGTGCAATCTGGTCAAAGTTTGCATTGATCACTGACCACAGTCTATATGCTTCACAAATCAACAGCATCAACTCTACTGCTGTCCTCGGAGTGGCCACGAGTGTGTGGAACGCAGTATTGTGTGACGGATATGGTGAACTGCACTACCAGTCAACCATTCACAGCAGGTGAGTTCAAAAGTCGAGGACGAACCTCAATGTTGTGCAGTGCTCGTCCTCTCATTGATCGAATAAGCACTAGCGCTTACTGGTGGGAAATGTTCCCTCAGTCTCCCCTCCACAAACCCAAAAATGTGAATGTAGATCAGCTGACCAACACTTGTCTCATATCACCGCCAACTCTCACACCCGACTTCATGATGTCCCACTGCACGCCGGACACATTTCAATACACCCACTCTCCACCCAGCACACTGTACACCGTTATCCTACACCTAGGGTTACCTCTACGCGCAGTATACCCACCGAATGGACAGCACTGTCCTCCGAGGTTTGACGCAAGCACGTCGAGTAGACAGTGTCAGTCAGGCGATGACAACTGGACGAGTGAGTATCATCGGCGTCAGTCGGACGGTTTGACTTTGCGACTGAATGTCGAATGTCCACTCAGTCATCACCTCAGTGGGCACGGGACACCAATGGCACACGGACAGGCAGAGTCGCATTAAAAGCGCCTTCCGAGCCTGCCAGGATTCGAACCTGGAATCTCCTGATCCGTAGTCAGGCGCGTTATCCATTGCGCCACAGGCCCACGCCGCCACGTCACATAACTCACCTACTCCAACAATCATCCCACATCTACACAACACTACCAAAATCATTCAAAACCCGTCCACATCGTCTCCAACCAACTCATCACCCGAATATGCATAACATTACTCACTGGTCTCAAGACTACAACACCACCTCACCTCCCATAGACGCTCCTCATTCTCCCTATCAATTAACCAGCAGACTAACCAACACGGACGCATCTACACCGCACCGCACAACATTCACCAAACACTACAGATAAACCACACTCCCGTTGTAACACTCACTCCATTGGAATCACAACGATCCTGGAACGCCTGACACACTGACTCGTGTGTCGCTCACACCAATCACCTTACACTCTCAAAAACACTGTCGAGTTGACCAATTCACCATGATGTGTCAATCCAATCCACACGTGGAGACAGGTGGCGAGA